GTTCCGTTTGAGTGAGGCTATTGCTAGTGTATAAGCCTAAGGAAACACTCATAAGCGTTGCCTATAATGAACAAGAAAATAACATAACTTGCTTCTAGAGGTAGAATTCGGCGTATACGCCTCGAGTTGCTTATGGTAGTCCTTTGCTCTTTTGGGGACCTGTAGGAGCATAGGATGAGAACCATCGACACAACCCCTATCCGTACCGGTAAAACGGTCGGATCGTATAATAACACCATTGCGTGACTGCGAGATGGTTTCTCGTGAAACCCGCTATGTACTAACCCTAATTCAAAATGCACTAATTGGCGCAATTGGCGAAATACAAGGGCCTTCAGCTTGCCGCTTATGCTGCAAGTTACCTTTTCCTTATACAAATCTATGGAACGCAATATGCAGAATCTCCGAACTCGATTCCCCGAGCCAAAACGGCGATATCGACTGCTTTTTGACCAACTTTGGTCTCAGAACTGCTATCTTAAGACTTATGTGCCTATAAGCGGAATCTTCTGGTAGTTGCGCCGGGTTGGCGAAATAGGGGCTCTGGGCGGAATATTGGCGAAACCCGGGCGAAACCCCAATTGGAGCAATCAATCAGGTTGCGCCACGATCTCTCGATTCACGGGTCTTGACTCTTGAGTCTTGACTCGACGTTTTGAGTGTGGCTTCCATTCTCTACTCTTGGCAAGACTCGGAGTCTTGCCACCGGAGATTCTCCTTGGTTGATTTCTGTCAAGTCGTAGCGCTTACATCAAGAGCGTTGGCAGCTTTGTTTGCAGCTTTCATCTGCGCATTTCACCATCCTGGGAAGTCTTCTTCGTGTCTGAGAGTGCTAGCATTGAAGACCAGCTGGTATTTTGGATTGATAGTGAGCTGGTTCCAAGCTTAGCCGAAACGCTGTTTAAATGCATCACATCATCATCGATCAACTCCATCATCATTTTGAAACTCATTGCCCCGTGCGTGCAACTTGCCCTTTGGTTCTCTTACAACGTCCATCAGATGGCAGGTACTTATTCTTATACTTACTAAGCTTTCATTTAGGGTTCTGAATGGCACTTGGTCTTTAAAGATAGTGGTCGGGGCAATCGAGTTTCGCTGTCAGGAACTGGCACACCTTGCTATTGCACCACTGCCTGATTCCAGATTGTCCGTTGAGTGCAACATTCCTAGAAGCAGAGAGGTGGTGGAATGCTAAGCCCTCAGGGTGGGCAAGGACTCAATATCACTTAGGGTCTGAGGGGAGCAGAGACGCCCTGGGTCATAAGCTATACACCAAGGCCATAAGAGATACCCGGAGGGATGGCCGCCGAGGCCAGCCGGCGGCTGCTTACGGATGCGCTCGAGGTGCACCACCCAGGCATCCCGATGGAATACCACCCTCACGAGATGCACCCGCACCACCATGACATCAGCGCGTCGTCAGCGCTCCAACACCCGTCCCCTTCCAAGCTCCTCCCGCCCGGCTACCAGGAGCTCCTGAGCTTGGGGGACCAGTTGCTGGCGTCAGCACAGAAGGGCGTGCCCCCCCCCAGGAAAAAGGCGCGCGCGACGCCGTACAATGCGAGGAAACCGGCGTACAATAAGGTGATTGAGGATAAGGACGAGGCAGGGAAGAAGCGGATGCGCAAGTCGCTGATGGAGATTAAGAAGTGTTCGCGGAAGGAGGATCCGGAGACGGGGAAGATCAAGGTGAACGAGAATGGGGCGGCCAAGCGGAGGATGCTGTCGCTCAAGGACAAGGTGAGGGCACTTTTGCTTCCTGAAATTTGTCAATGCTTCAGGTTCAGGAAGTTTAAGTTGCACATTTTCTGGCGCTGTTCTGATTGTATTGCATCTGAGTAATGAAGAATACCTTTCAGAAATGCTAAGCAAAGTTGTCACCAAAAGGACATTGACCCAGCGATGGAAAGGGCATAGTGCGTCGTGCAGTTTCTTGGCCCTGATTCTTCTGGCCAATATGTTTCCAAACCTCCAACCTGACGTGGCCCATGTTGCTTGTAATAATACAATGGTGCTGTCCTGATCGCAAACACCATGTGCTCAGAAAATGGCATTCAGACTAGCCCCAAGTAAAGTGGGCCGCTGGTTGGAAAGCCAGACACTCATCTACCGAAGCCTTAAATCCCAATCATATCGTCTGGTTCTGAGTACGACTTCTGATAGTATCGAGCAAAGGGCTCTCTTGCTTCTTATTGAAGCAAGGGGGGACCAACCTCCATTAACTTTGAGGCGCCTTCGTGGACAGCCGGTTCTGGATCTCAGAATGATTAGATGTATGCTGTCGACTACCTATGTGTGTACAAGTTTTACAATAACCCAGATGCTCATGTTTTTGTTAAAAACATAGAGTCCCTCGGCCGGTCAACAAACGTCAGCCACAGAACCCGATGCAAGTGATGCTTATCCCAAGACCTGTTTCGTTGTCAGGTGCTGGAAGTTGCGGAGATGGTGGTCGGCAAGAACGCTGCCGATCTGGTCACGTCGGACGTCGAGATGGCGCTCTCGTTCGTGCTGGAGCGCAAGATCTACGGCGTGTCAGTGAAGAACGTCCTTGAGCATTTGCCCGAGAAGCACCCGCAGAGCCTTGACGCGATGGAGAAGCAGTTCCAAAAGAACGTGCGAAGGGTGAGTCTGGGGCTCTTGCATGGTCTGCTAAAAGAAGGGCGGATGAGCAAGTCTCTGCTTTCAATCCTGTCCTATTTGTATGTATCGGCTGGTTCTCGCAGAACAACACGGTCCTAGTGTGTTTTGCTTCTACTTAACATATCCACATGTAATATTTCTTGATTGCCCCTGACGGATGGAACCAGGTAAAGATGAAGTGCAGTCACCTCTCGGCCTTTCGCTCGCAGCACCACTGTCGTTTTGATACCTTGAAGTCCTTATTAGTGACTTATCGCCTCCTCGAGTCCGTTTTGAAAGGGGGTCTCAAAGCGAAAATCTTCGCGGGTTTAGTGATGGTGAGGAAAGGGCTCTCCATGCCGTTATTCTGGAACCTTCTTTGACAGCCCACGAACAATGAAAGGTATGCATAAGACGCGTCTGGGCATTCAGGGCCCATCAATTGGCCATCCAGACTGCCATACGCGAGGCCGTTTGGTGGTCCTTTCCTTGCCAAGTTGCCAAGCAGCACGTCACTTCCCATCCCTGTACAGGATTTCACGAACGAGAGGATATTCGAGGGTCCCGTCAGCAAGGCGGGTCTGACAAAGGAGGCGCTGATGGAACTAAAGAAGCTGGACACGCATGACGTCATCGCTGCCACCGGGTAAGCTTGACCCCGTCATCCTTCGCACGGATCCGAGCAGCACCGCACTGCTTTTTTGGAGGCGGCAATCTGCGTCCGTGAGTGTGATTTTGCAACGCAGTGCGGCGCCACTTATCGCTTTTGTGGGACTTTTCCGCCCGTTGACCTGTCCGTTGTTTTACTTACACGCCTCTCACTTAGTTTAAAGAACTCTTCTCCTCACCAGCTCAGCAGCATTTAGTCAGCAGGAGGCATCGGGTTTGCTTGGTCGTAGAGCTGACTGCCGCTTCTCCACGTCTCCGTACTAGTACGAGCTATCTGGTAGTAACTTCATCTTTCTGCTTGCCAGGTCGGGTATCAGATCGTTGAAAAAGGGCCCCCCGAAAAAGCGGAAGAGGGTCAAGACAGAGGACGGGCAGGAGGGGGAGATACCGGATCTGGAGGGGCCGCTCGAAATGGGGGGCGATGCCGAGGTGCCGGGGGGTGAGATGGAGCACGAGGAGGACCCCCACTTAGAGAACGAGGACGTTGACCAGGGGCAACAACTAGAAGCGGGGGGGCAGCCAGTCCACCCTGGGGACGACGCGCATGCGTTACTGGGGGGGATGGGTCCGGCGCTGAGTCACTACGAAGAGGAGTAGGATGCGCCGCGGTTAGCTGCGTAGAACGCGGTGTCTATGTACATACGAGAACGTGAGTCGTCTGGGCAAATCAGGATTTAAGGAGCGAGGTAGTCGAGGAGCTCAACCTGCCAGACGGAGGGTGACGTCTGCCTGACGTTCACCACGGAAACACATGGTCTGTTCTTGACGTACGTTGCAAACTACGGCGTCTCAGGCGGCTCTGCCCAACAGCAGATTGTGAAGCGAAGGAGCGTAGCCAAGACTTTGGGTTCTGCTGCAACTAGCGTGTCACTCTGAGTGTTAATGAGGATGAGCTTCGCAGAGCCAGTCCCTGCCAAGGCACGGGCTCAGACATTTCTGAGTCTACACTTTCTCCATTGTTGTCGAACTTCGGAATCGGCGTTCAGTGTGCCTTGTCTTAGGCGTCCTTTGCACGAGCCCACCCTTTCCTTT